CACACACACACACACACACACACACACACACACACACATAAATAAATAAAAATTTAAAAAAAAATCCCTCTTCCTTTGAGTCCTTAGATCAGTCAATGGGAGCTCTGATGCCTGGCTAAGCTGGGTCGATGCCTCCCAGCCCTGGCCGGAAGCAGCCATAAGACAGACTTTCAGCCCCCTGCCCTCCTTAAGAATAAGAAAAGGGGGCAGGCCCCCATGGCTCAGTAGAATAAGTGCTTGCCTGGCAAGCACAAAGGCCTGAGTTCAATCCCTGGATCAGCAAAAAAAAAAAAAAAAAAAAAAAGAAAAAAGAAAAAAAGAAAAAAATTCTGAGCGTGGTGGAAATGAGTTCAGATAGAAGAAATAAGTGTAGGCAGAAGAAATGGAAAAATCATAATTTAAAAATTATACTTTTGAAAAGTCTGCAACTTCAGGACAGTCTAAGTCATCCAAGAATATCCATCACAATAGTTTCGAGATGTTATGCTACTTCTTTCTTCCATAACTATCATACCCTAAATCACTTAAAGATACTGTAAGTTCATAATGTGGCTTAGCTGATAAAGAGCAGGAGTCTGATTTTAAGGTAAAGGAACTGATTGAGAGCTCTTTTTTTTTTTTTTTTTGGCAGAACTGGGGATTGAACTCAGGCCCTTATGCTTGCCAGGGAAGCACTTATCCTACTGAGCCATCTCCCCGGCCCCAATTGAGAGTTGAAAGCATGTTTTAAATAAAACCTATTAGAAGACCCATTTAGAAAACAAAACCAATAGATGGAGCCCATGCATTTTGCGGCACCAGCGAGAAGCATGGGCTATGTGTGCATCCTTTTCTCCTGTAACCAAGAGGAAACTTCTTATAGGCTCACAAATTCCATAGGCTTATACCCACTGTGGAGAAACACAAATAATCCTGGATCCAGAAAATAATGTACCTCTCTTGAGGGCCCACAGTGTACTCTAACTTCTGCTTGATAAACTTCGTTATGCCTCTTAAAAATAAAAAGAAATAATATTCCATGAGCATGGCTGCATTTGAGACCACCCCAAGCTTCCTGGATGGGGACGGGCTTAGAGGAGGTAAGGAAACGGGGCTGGAGCCTCTTGCACACACGACCATGCCCTTTACAGCCCAAACCGTTTGGCATTCACCAGTTTTGGTACTTGTCACACCTCCTGGAACCAATTAGTGATGAGTACCAAGGTACCACAATAGATGTCTGGCATTGTGTGTGTATCCCAACCCCAAATTATAGGCCAAGCCAAGCCACCAGGCCAAAGGAACCATTTGAAAATACACATCTGCTGTTTTTATTGACTCTTCTCTTCCCGAGGCCAAAGTTAGCTCAGCAAGATACCTCTTATTCTGCTACTCTGGTTCTTGGGTAAAATGTAAACACAGTTTCATTCTTGGACAACCATCCATGCAGGCCTCATGTTTAAGCCAACTGTCACAGGCACAAAAAGCTCAGGAGAGCATGGTGTGTACTTTTCCCATGTGCCCCGCTGCCCGGCTACAGGAGCTCCTGAGGTCTGAGAGAAGCGATGGGACGGAGGCTGGGCTTTCAGCATCCTGCCCCAGCAGAGACAGCAGCCAGGAGGTTCAGAGGCCACCGTGGGTGAGAGATTGTCACAAGGCTCAAGGCTCCTCTTTCCTGGCCATCTGGCCTCCTGAAAAAGTATGGCCAGTGGGCAGGACAGGGGTGTGTGTGTGTGTGCGCGCGCGCGTGTGTGATACCCAGCCAGTCACAATGTTTCTAGGCAATCTCAAAGAGGCCCCCAAAACACTGGCAAGCTGGACAGGGGCTTTTCTGCCTGGGCAAGAGTCCAGTGCCTTCCCAGGGAGAGACAAGTGAGGCCAAGTTACACAGCCACCTGCAGGAGACCCCTGCAGGCTGAGACATGAAGGTGCACTTATGAGTGGCTGTGAAGCCAGGAGGGGACCCGCCTGCTGACTGGAGGAGAGTGACCTGGTTCTTCCGAAGACAGCGGGGAAAGGACTTGGTTATATGACTGTCTGGGCAGGATGAGGCCTGGGGAAGCTCTGCCAACCCGAGTCCTGGTTGGACTCATTCTTCTAAGAAGTGCTCGGTATTGTTTCCCAAGAGCACCTGGAGGGATCTCAAGATCGGGGCTACCCTTAAGGATTCACTCAGATCTCCCAACTGCTGCCTTAGAAAACACTAATCCATCAGGAGTGTTGCTGCCCATACCAGCTCGTCCAGCCTGTGCCCTCTCTGGGTGCACAGTAGGCAGTCCCCAGCAGGCCCCTCTCAGCCCTCCCACACCCCAAGCTCCACAGATCAAAAGAAACACAAATCATCACTCCACAAGCTGAGTGCAGGGCAGGTGTATTGCTGGGACCCTCGTCCTCACACCCTATCCCAATTGGTCCTGACTTTGTCATTCAAGGTCATCCTGTCCATCGGGAGCACCTTTCATCACAGACATGGTGTCTTCAGAGAAAGAACTCTTTCAAAGGCTGGGGGACCTAGGAAGAGGAGAGTCCCCAGGTGGAGGAAGGTGGATGCAGTCTACTACTTGCCTTCTTCATTCTCCCAGCCAGTGACCTTTCCTGAGCCTCTGGGCGCCCAGGCCCCCGGGATGGACACGAGACAAGCAGGGAGGGCCACGATCTCTGGGCACACAGCCTGCCCACAAAGCCTGGGCTCCGCATGGAAGCAGCAGAAGACCATGCAAGGAACCTCTGTGGGTTGGTGGCACAGACTGTGGCTGCCATGGGGATCAGGGAATGCTTCTTAGGAGGAGGAGGAAGCATGGGGCAACTTACATCCTTTTGGAAGAGCTCAGCATAAACCATGCAGGCTGCAGAGATGAGCTCATCGGCATCAAGATCAATGAGGTTGTTGCAGGCCTATGCAGGGAGATGTGTGTGCATATGTTTGTGTGCGTATGTTTGTGTGTATGCATGTCCTCAACCTGCCTGGCACAGTGCTGATATTGTACACTTTGTGGTGGTGTTAACTCTAGTATCCACACTGGCTCTAGGAATTCCTGGGGCTCCCCTACGTATTTCAGCAGCTTCCAAGGAGGAATTGATTATAGCTGGGATACAGCTAAAGTTCTTTTCAAACAAAAGCCTTTAGCTTTTTTTTTTAATGTTGGGAAATTAGGTCTTTCCACCACAACAGTATCCCTAGGCGAAGGGCTGCCTGTGAGGCAGGAGGGCACAATAGTTAAACCCCTTGAGGCCTCTGTTCCCTGAGCGCTGACTGGATGTTAGCCTGTGTTGGGCTGGTTAACAGCTGTGAGGCGCTCGTGTGTCCAAAGCCCTCAGCACAGAGCTGATGACACTGAGCTCTTCCAGCATAGAAGCCAGAGTCATAGGGAAGTCCAGGACCCCAGGCCCTTCCACCGAGATGTGCAGGGTATTGGGGTCTCTAGCGGGGTGGGAGAGGGTAACTCACCAGGAGGATGGCGTCACCACTCATGCCTTCCAGCAGCACCTGCTCTCGCACCATCTGTAGCATGCTATAGGCCACCAGCACCTGCAGGTTCCGGCAGGGCTTCCCGGTCAGCAGGACCTGAGGGGGTGGGGTGGGAGCCTAAACTGCAAACGCCCTGAGATGGTAAAGCATGTACCCACCCCCCAGAGCCCAGGGCCAGCCCCTCCCAGGCCTCATTGCTCATTCATTCACTCACTCATTCACTCACTCACTCACTCACTCACTCACTCACTCACCCTGGAGTGTTAGGCATTGGCTACTGGGGGATTCAGCCATAATGGCCCCTAAGAATTCATGGTGGAGAGGATAGGGGTTTATGTGAAACCAGGAAAAGCAAGAGTTGATAGGAGCTCGATGATCCAGGGGTGTCTCCCAGGCTTGATGGTGGTCAGGGACGCAAGCAGGCCAGGGAGGGTGTGAGGCAGGTGGACATCAACCTGGGGCACTGAATGCCAGGCTGACAGTTGGGCAGTGATGGTGGCAGGCTGTTCCCAGGGAGGTGCACCTACTGGTGGCCTGGGGGTATGGGCAGAGGACTGTAGTTGTCCTTGGGGGACAGGAGACAGGGGGTTCAGTGTAGCCAGGACCATGAAGACAGGGAAGGCCCAGTGAGGGGTGGCAGGGCACAGGCTGCAGGGACTTTGCATGGGATGAGTGGAGAGATAGGAGCAGGGTTGCTGGACTAATAAAACCTTGAGCCACTGAGCTACATTCAAGGCCAGGAATGGTGGGAAAGCGGGCTGCGTGGAGTGGGGACCTAAACACAGCATTCCCAGCTGATTGCTCACCTCCCAGAGCCGCCAGACATCATCAAAGGATTTGAAGGCATGCTGGAAGCAGAGGCAGAACCAAGGGAAGAGGGCCTGCACTGCCCCTGCGCCCTTCCCTTCTGTAGGGAGAGAAGCAGGTGCTGCCCAGGAGGCCAACAACGTCAGGGAACTTGGGGGGACCTTGCTCAACAAAGCCAATGCACATAGAGCTCACAGGACACTTAGGAAACATGGCAACCCTGGCCGTGACTGTGCCAACCATCCCTGGGGACTGGAGTCATGTTTACCAGCACCGACCCCAGCCATCACCTCCTAGGGCCTGGACACGTCCCCAGAGCTGTTCCTTTTCTTGTAAGGGCAGCTGCCCCCTCCCATCCTTGCCTGGATGGGGCCCCAGGGGGCAGGAGATGGGGTCCACGCACTCAGGTGCTCAGCAAATGTGGGGTCCAGGATGGCAATGAGGCGGCTGAGCATGTCCAGGTTCTTGCCCACCCCGATGGTGATGACGCAGCTGTTCTCCTGCACAGGGCGGGGCCGGGGTGGGAAGCTGAGTCTCCTCTTTAGCTCTGCCCTGCTCGGCTCCAATTCTGGGGTCTGTGTGTGGCATCCCCACATGTGTGCATGTATGCAGGCGATCATGCCTTGTCCATGCCTATGTGGTCTGTGTGCACAGGTGTGCCCGCCAGCATAGGTGTGCACCTCTTGGTGACAGTGTGCAGGAGGGTGCGATGGAGTGCAGAGATGTCACAAGGGTGGCTCACAATCTAGTGAACCCAGTGACCACCCAACACACCCGACATACGCTGCCCCAGAGCCAATGGGAGCAAGGACAGCACATTATTACAGGGATGTGGGAGGGCGGGAGAAGGTGGTGTAAGGGCAGGGGAGGAACAGGAAAGGTGGGGAGTGGGTGGGGGAGTGGGCAGCCTCTCCTAGGTCCTGATGAAAGGCTGCCCAGGGAAGGGGGTGCTCCAGGTGCGATGCCCTCAAAGCCCCTTGGCCTGGACAGAGCAGGGGGATACACCGGCACTACTGAGTTGCCTCAAGCCACATGTGGAAGGATCTCGGAGAAGCAAGACCCAAGAGGTGGTCAGGAAGGACTGGCTGAGGCTGCTGGGTTTTCTTCAGGAGGCTGAGAATTGGCTGGGTGGAGAGCGTTTGGGGAGGGTGAGGCCAGGAGAGGGCGCCATTCGTGGAACTGCCTACACCACTCACATTATAAGACCTCCTCCATTTCAGTGCCTCCCTCGAGGACACCGCCACCCCTAGGCTGCTCTGTGCCCCAGGAGTGCTTGGCTGGAGGCGTGGCATGACTGTCCTGGGGAGGGGCTGGGCCCTTCTCCCCATGGGCCTCACCGTTTTCTGCAGGAAGAACTGGAAGAGCCAGAAGGTCTCGTGGTCGTGCTCCACCATGAGCTGGAAGAGCATCACCATCTCGTGGAAGCCCTGCTGGTACTCTGCAGAGGGCGCACTGTGAGGAGGGTCCCGCGGCACCCGGCAGTGGCTGGACACGGCCCTCCTCCCTCCACTCACCTGCCTGGGGGTTGCACACGTAGCTCAGCAGCAAGATCTTTTCCAGCCTCTTCTTGTCCACCAGGATGTTGCCCAGTGGGTCTTTGTCATAGAGTTTCTGGATGTCACATGCTAGGTTGGGGATAGGTAGATGGCACCAGGCCACTTCCGGGAGAGGGCTCTTGGCTAGTTGATCCCCCATCCAGTAAGGCAGCCCCTAGGACATCCTGCGGGAAGGACCTGAGCTCCACATGCCACCCTGCGCTACTACTCTACCCGTTCAGACCTCTGCCAGGAACACCCCCCACCCTGGGATCCAACAAATCCAGTCCAGCTCAAGGCCAGGGAAGGAAGACAGTGCAGCAGGAACAGCGAGTGGCAGGGAAATGGTGCTGGGCACCTAGAGGCATCTGCAGACACAGATGGGTGGATTAACCAAGGAGTGGCTGGGAACATCCTACAACCTTCTATCCCCAGAAGGGGCTGAGGAGGAGGCAGGCAGGCTCTGCTGTGCCCTCGGCCTGGCCTCCTACCCACTCTGCTTACCAATGTTGTTCTGAGTCTTGGTGAAATTCTGGTGCAAGTTCTCCAGGAGGGGCTGAATCTTCTCGTACATTTGGCACAGGGCCTCATAGTTCTTCCTGCCAGGATGACACCACTGGGATGGGGGAACTCTCTGCAGCAGCTGCTGCTGGGCTCCACAGGTACAAAGTAGCCTTGCCCTCTTGGTCCCCAACCTGTGATGTTTTCCCTGGCCTCAGCTTGCTCCAGGCCTACACACCCTCTGCTGTGGGCCTCCTGGGTTCTCCTGGGTTCTGAATAACGGGGCATCTGCAGCTGAGGCTGCCACCTTCCCTCTCTGAGCCTGTTTCCTGTCAGTAAAGTGAGGCTTGTCCTGGCCCCTCTGTGCCCCAGGGCTGGAAGGATCAGGGATCAGGAGAAATGGTGTTAGGCGTGCTTGTCAGTAGCTGGTGTGCTGAGCTGACTGTGGCCCATGGGTCTTTGTCAGCGTTCCTAGATGTCATATGCTAGGTAGGGGAACAGATAGGGAGCACTAGACCACTTCCACATCAGACCCCAAGCGTGGCCTTCAGTGGAACAGAAGTCTTTGCAGACAGAAGTCTTTGCAAATGTGACTAAAGATCTCAAGAGCAGGTTATTATAGGTTCTCCGGGTGGACCCTGAATCCGATGACAAGAGTCCTTATGAGACACAGGGAGGAGTTCAGGTGACCACGCAGGCAGAGATGAAGGGATCCAGCCACCAGCCAAGGGACATTCAGTGCCACAGACACAGAAAGTGATGAAGGATTCTCTCCTAGGGCTCACAAAGGGAGCCCACACCTTGCTTTGGGCTTCTGGTCCCCAGATCTATAAAGGGCAGCCTTCTTCCCTGTACAGGGCAACTGACAGATATTCTCTAACTCAGCCCTTAGAACTAGCCCACGAAATGTATCATTGCCCCCATTTTACAGAGGAGGAAAGCTCGAGGCTGGTGGTAAAGATCACAGAAAGTTCACCCAGGGTGGTGCTGGGGCTTGAACCCAGCTTCCATGTCCAAAGCTGTCCGAGTCTGCAAGCTGTGCGTTGCCTACAGAGCCCAACTGCTTTCTTCCGCCTCTGTGGAAGATCTGGAAGGGCTACTTAGGGGAAGTGCCCGGTCTCATCTGGGTCTTGAGGGAAGCAGAGAGTGTGCTGTTTGTTTTTCCCACTGAGGATTAAACTCAGGGACTTTGCACAGAGCTGTACCCCCCCCCCCCTTGGAACGAAGTCTTGCTAAGTTACTAAATTGCCCAGACTGGGCTGGAATTTGTAATCCTCCTGCCTCAGCCTCCCAGATGGCACTGTGTCCTGCTAAGCATGGAGTTTGATAGGCAGATGCTGGGAGAGACAGTGTGGGTGGAGGGAAAAGAGTGAACCAAGAGCAGAGGGGAGCACAGATGTGGCCTTTGTGAGGGGGTGCTGGGAGGGAAGTGGGGAAGCCAGGGCATGGGAATGCAAGGTGTGGGCGGGGGTACCAGGGTCTGGGAAGGCCTTGAAGGAGTGTGCAGTCTTCTAGTGTCACCAGTCAGACACTTTTGGGGTATTTGATGCTGGCATGCGGACAGAGCCAAAGACCTAGGAGACAGCTCAGCCATGGATAGGGATGGGGAGGAGGTGGGGGCTGGGCTGAGGCCTAGGGACAAAGCTGCAGGGTGGCTCTGTGCAGCTTCAAAGCCCAATGCACAGGCTCTAGGGAGGGCGCAATGCGGGGCCAGGGGCTCACGGGGTGGAGCTGGAGGATTGCTGCCTACAGGCTAGGAGGGCACCACCTGTCTTTCACCTGTGGCCCCACCACTGTGCTGTGGAAGATCGGGACACTCTACCTCCTCGTGCTGTCCACTGTTAGCCGCTCGTCCTGGGAACTCTGCCACGAGTAGTAGCCGGTGAGGAACTTCCAGGCCTCTGTTCTGACTCCAGGGTGCAGGCCCTGGGGGCGGGTGGGGAAGGCTATGGGCCCTCTGGAGACCTCCCCAAAGGCTCTGTCCAGTGCCAAGTCTGCCCCCGGCCTCCCGTGACCCCCAGTCTCAGGGAAGGTGAAGGGGATCCTGGGGACCTTACCCTCTCCAGGATGTTAACACAAATGAAGTCCCGGGACTTGGCCAAGTAGCCGTTCTCGTCAAAGAAGCTATTCCATTCCGTCTTGTCGATGGGTGGTTTTCTCTTTGCCTGGTGAGGACAAGGAGCCTTTAGCTTCTTTTAGTTTGAAGCAGATTTTTTTTTTAAAACCTCTGCACTTTGCAATAGGAATCAAAGCTTTCAGCTTCTGACTCACAAGGAAATTACTAAAAATAAGTAGAAAAAGTCCTGAATGCACAATAATTTTCATTGCATGTTACTGTTCTATGATAAAGGAATAGTTAACTATGGTGTAGATATTCAGTGGAGCGTTGTGAGACATATGAGCAGATGTGTACATGGGCTAAATAATAATTTGGAAAAATACAAATGTTAGCAGAAAAAAAGAATACAAAACTAGATATAGAATATTCCACATCCTGTACTTATAGTACTACAATAGCATTCATAGTAGTACCTGTCTACTGTGCTCTGTAGTACCATGGAAGCATTTAGAGTACTGTTGATTATACTCTATAATACTACTATAGTACTTACAGTACTAACTGTGTATGTTCTATGTCTTCCATTATTATGAAAACTGTTCTGCATAACTCATATATAGGGGATTAACCACTGTAAAATTTAGGAAAAGATTAGGGGAAAAACCCTCCTCTAGAGGGTTTAGATGATTATTTATGATTATCGCCGCATAATAGGAGTGTAAGTAATTTTCCCTTTTTCTTGTATTTTCAAAGTTCTCTATCATAATGGGTGGCACTCTGATAGCAAGAGAGGGTATAAGATAAGCAGTAATGAAACACTCTCCTGTTTATCTTTCCTGGAAAAGTAAAACAGTTCACCTGAAGAATGGAATTTAGTTCAGATAAAGGGTGTGTGTGTGTGTGTGTGTGTGTGTGTGTGTGTGTGAAGCAGTGTATTGTGAGGCCCCTGAGATCCGCTTAGGGAGAGGTGCCATATGCAAAACAACTGGAAATGTTGACACAATACTGTTAGGGATCCTGTTGGACAAGGGAAAGATGCCTGTCTTCCTGGGGTCCCCAGCACAAGACTACCTTGAAATTCACACTGTAGAGAGAGGTGCTGATAAACCTACTCCCTACCTCCCCTTACTCCCTGAACATGGACAGGTGTAACTCAAAATTCAGTCTGGGGCTGGGAAGATAGCTCAGTGGTCTAAGGGCCTGTCTGGCAAGCACAAGGACCTGGGTTCGATCCCAAGAACTGCATGCTGTGCCAGTGCCTGGAACCTGGGTGCAGTGTGCCTGCCACTGAAATGGGCACGGTGGTGCACACTTGTAATTCCAGTGCTGGGGAGGCTGAACAGGAGGATCACTACGAGTCCCAGGTGTGTAGCAAGACCCTCTACCAAATACATAAAGAACATATTTTAAAAAATTAAGTCTGTATACAAATCATTTGAGGGTTTTCTTTGCCTGCAGATTCTAATCTTGAAAGTTGGGGCTGCAGCCTAAAACAAAGCATTCCTAGCAAGTTCCAAGGGAGCCAGGAGGATGCCACTGGCCCATGGGCCATGAAAGATCAGGGAATTCACAGGAAATGCGGCACTGGAAAAGAATAATAAGAACCCCCAGGCCACATGGGGAAATTCCATTAACTGCATGCTTGGAGGGGTTGGAATGAGGAAGACATTCTTGAATAATTTGTAGATCCTCTTTCTTCTGAACCAAAATAAGACAAGGGGCCAGGGGGGTAACAGAGGAATGTAAGGGTGGGGCTGTGACTCAGTGGCTGAAGGCTTTCTTGGTATGTGTAAGGCCCTGGGTTCAATTCCAAGCACAGGGGTGTGGGTAGGGGTGGGGTGGGGGAGAAAGACCCAAATTTCTTTGCTGACCTTGGTCTTCCTTTGGGAAACAGGGTGTCCCTGACCCTGTGACACAGCTGCGACCATCAGTAACCACCTCCACGTTTACAGAACCACTGGGCTTCTCTGCCCACTACCTGGCTTTCCATTCCAGCTCTTCCGTTCACTAGCTCTGTGACTGTCACCAGTTTATGATGTCTCTGTGCTTCGATTTTCTTGTTTATAACTTGGGAATAACAGCACCATCCACCTCCCTGCTTGCAATGAGAATGGATGACTATACACAAAGCGTTCAGCACAGTTGTGAGGCGCGGTAAATGCTGTGTGACAGCTCATTTTATTACTAGCAGCCTTCGTGGAGTTCAGAGAATGGAAGGATGATATAAAAAAATTCAAATCAGGACCTGGCGATCTTCTGTAATAAAGCTGTAATGTTTAAAACTCCAGGAAAGAGACGCCCATTTTGCATTTTTTTGTATACCACTCTCTTAATCACTATGATTAATGAGACTTGTGATTGGTTAAGGTCATTATAATTAGCAATTACGATTTTGAGAAATACTGCATGAAAAATTTTTATGATGGAAGCCGACTTCTTAAGGAATGGATGCATTTTATTAACCGGGTGTGGAACCACTTGCTAACAAAAGCCTTACTGCCACCTGGTGGCAGCATACCAAAATTGTTAGCAAAAGCGCCGAAGAAAACTTGAGTGTCTGATTTAGGAGTAAACTTGCAAACCTGAAATTCAGTAAAGGCGGAATGACGCATTTAGGGAGAAGAAAGTAGCACCAGATTGAGGATAAGGGGGAAGGGGTCACGGGTGTGTCAGTGCTGTTGGTATTACTGATGGAAAGGCCAAGGTGGGACCGGTCCTGCTGGGTCAGCTTAGTGTCCTACCCAGAAGAAGGAGGGGGCCACCTGCCACTCAGAGGCTGGGGAGGGAGGACTGGGGGTGCTGGTGAGGTGCACGCACCAGGATGAAGGAGGCCGACTGCCTGGCTGAGAGGCTGTTCTCGGGAAAGAGGGTGGTCATGGTCCCACAGGCTGTCTTCACAGCAGCTCCTGGCTGGAACTTGGAACTCACTTAGAGCCCTCAGGAGGCTTAGTGAGCAGGAGGAGGTGAGCTGCTTTCTGGAGAGGAGTTGCATTCCCAAGAGGAACTGGCCTCTCCAGATGGTCATCTCTGGGGGGGCCTGAGAAGAGCTGGCAGCTCTGTGTCACAAGGTCCCTGGAGCCCGCATCACAATGACCTTGGAACATGGGGGTTCAGGGGAGGGGCACACTCAGGAACAAGGGACATTAGGAACTGGCCAGCCCGAGGAATTGCCTTGTGTGGCAGGATTTGCAGTGTGGTCACTGGATTCAGAGCACGTGGGGGTCCAGGTGGGCTGCCTGGCAGAGGTGGGTGTCTCTGGCTCTTCCTGGAACTCTGCTGTTTCACCAGCCCAATGTCTGGGCTTCTGATGCTTGGGGGCCACTTTCAAAGATTCAACATCGGGGGCCGGGGAGATGGCTCAGTAGGATAAGCGCTTGCCTGGCAAACGCAAGGATCTGAGTTCAATCCCCGGTTCCGCCAAAAAAAAAAAAAAAAGATTCAACATCATTCTGTTGGGGCAATCTGGGCAGTACATGTGGCATCTGAGGTGGAGTGTCTCAGATCTAGTATTTGGATGGTAATTTCTGGAAGCAGAGACCAATTTTGTTTTACTTCACATCGAAAGCCCTTACAACACTGGTCAAGTCTTACAGACCCTTGGTCTGAGTACCAACCGAATGAATGATTGCATGGAATGAAAATAACGGATGCTTTCTGGAATGGCATCTCACCTCCTCCTATGTGTAGTGAAGATTTCTGCACATCCCATCTCCCCTTTTACCCTGAGTTCCTACAGACCAGCATCAGGGTCAGAAGCTGTGTATTCTCCTTACAATGCCAGTCTTTTTTTTTGAAGAATATTTATTTATTTTATTTGGTACAGAGTCTCGCTACACAACTCAGACTCTAAGAGATCTGCTTGTCTCAGCCTCCCCAGCACTGGGATGGCAGGTGTGCACCACCACATCCAGTTTCAGTGGCCAACATGGTTCAGAGCCAACATGGCATGTGGTACTAGGGATCAAACCCAGGTCCTTGGGCTTGCCAGGCAGGCACTTAGACCACCGAGCTATCTCCTGGGCCCTACAATGCCAGTCTTGCTGCTTCCTGATTCATTTTTGGAAAGAGTCTTAAAATAGAGTTCAGGCTGGCCTTGAACTCATGGTGATCCTCCTGCCCCAGCTCCTGAGTGGTGGGATTACAGACACCACTACGCCTTGCAGCCATGTTTGCTGAGTGGGCCAGGGAGCTGCTTCCTCTAAATTCTAGCATCACCATTCTCCACCTTAGGCATTGCTCGGGACCTATCTGGCTTGAATGCATCCTTGGTCATTAGCAGATGATAAGACAAACTGCGTAGGAATCAGGGACTCAGAGGTAGAATTTAGACTCTGATCTCAAACAAATTTTTTTTTAATTTTTATTTTTAGAGAAGGGTCTACAGGGTGTTCAGGGTCTCACTACTAAATCAGACTCGTAGTGATCCACCTGTTTACAGCCTCCCAGGAGCTGGGATTACAGGTGCACACCACCACGCCAGCCCAGTCTCAATTGCTGTCTCAGCGCTGCGGGGGGGGGGGGGCAGTCTCACCTCAAATTTATATGCTCCCTCCCCTCTGAGTTGCAGGTTCTCCAGCTGTGAAATCAGAGGACAACTTCTAGCTCGAGTCTCATCAATACAATGAATCAGCGTCACTGTGGAAGTCCTGGGTGGACATGATTCACTGTGTTGTGCACTCAGATGGCTCTGCCGTCCTGCAGCACTGGGTGCCGGGCTTGTTCACGCAGCACCTTACCAGGTGCACCTCCACCAGCCCACCCAGTATAGGCAGGTGGCGCTGTGTGCCTCTTCCCTGCACCTGCTATCCCTGGTCTCCACAGAGCGGGATGGGGACAGCATGAAGTAGGGAAGGCACGCACTAGGAAGGAGACCTCTTCTACACCAGGAAGGCTTCAGGCAGAGATCTGTGGAACTTTCCAAAACAAAAGAGGGGGCGTGTGTGTGTGTGTGTGTGTGTGTGTGTGTGTGTGTGTGTGACATGGCACATGCTCCTCCACTGAGGGGGGGTGACAGTTGCCTCTGTTCCTCTACATTAGCTACGGAGACAAGGAACAGCAAGTTTCCCTAGGAAGATGGGGACCAGCCAGACAGCTAGAGAAATAATCTGAATGGCAAACCCTACGTGGCTTCTAAAATGGACTTACTGAGGTCCCTCTAACCTCTGGCTCTCTGTGTGCACATTGGAGGTCATAATCCTCTCTCCACCAAGGAACAAGCTGAGCCTCCAGAGGCCTTGACTGGAAAACAGAACTGCAGGACCCACAGTCCAAGCCACATACGACCTGGTCCCTCCTCCTCCCCACTTTCCGTCCAGACTTGTGAGCGGGATTTCCACATGTCTATTTTTTTCTTGGGCTCAGCGGTCCTTACCACATCCGTTTCTGTGCGTAATTGCTGGAGGGCTTTAGAACCCGTGCATGGCTTCATTTGCCCATTTCTCCCCCTCGCATGGGAATGCAGTTTCCTGCTTTAAATTTCTGTGCACGGAGATTCTTCAGGGCACAAGACTCCCAGGTTGTAGGATATCGTTCTTGGTGTTTGCATTAAGGAAGTCCTGAGAGGAAGGAAGCCTCCCGGCCCATCTTTTCTTGGATCAAAGTACTGAGGGGGCTGTGCTGGTGAGCAGGGAGGGGAGCTTGCCAAGGTGCCTGGGCACACAGGATGTTCATAAAATGAGAAAGTGCCTAGAAAGTGCCTGGGTTCAAATCCAGACCTTGCTCCAGTCTCTGCATGCAGCCTTTCCCATGCTCAGCCTCCTCAGAATAGGCCAGGCCAAGGATCCCCCAGCCAGTGGGCTCACCCCTAGATGGGTGTGAGGGGTGTGCTCCTTTGTTCTGCTCCCAGCTCAGGGTGTGCTCCTTTGTTCTGCTTACGTGTGCAGGGCGCCTGGCACCCGGCCAAGGCCTCTGCTGTGTCTGTGCCAGGGAGAGAGGGCATCCTTCCCCTGCAGCCGAAGAGGGGTGCTACGGACCCTCACCCTGTGCTGGCTGCAGGTCGGCTGAGGCTTCTGACCGTGGGGTGCAGATCCCCACTCTCAAAGCCCAGCTCATTCTGCTTCGTCTCTGTACGAGTTCAGCCTCATTCCACCCATTGCCTATGTGAGTCGTGTCTTCCTTGATGACACCCACCAACCATGGAGTGGGTTGACACCGAGACTGCTGCTCCTGGTGGCAGGCATTGTTATGCCATTTGCTGTCCTCCGCACAATGAGACTCCTCCCTGGAGGCGGGACAAGTCATCATCGCCCTGACACCATCTCTTCCTCTGTCTGAGTCCCAGCACCCTGCTCTGTGGCACTGCGAAAAGGAAAGCAGCCTCTGGCGCCAATGGCAAAGAAGCGTGGAGAAAAACAGACCCAGTGTAGCCCAGGGCACACCTGTTAGCCCCAGCATGGCTGTATAGTACCAAGGCTGGTCCAGAAACCTCACCATGAAAATCTCCTTTTATGCACTCAACTCCAGACAAGATGCTACCTGCTTGCCAAGCCTTGTAGTAATAGCCATTCCCAAGCACAAGGGTCCCATGAGCCTGCCAGCTTCTGCTTCTCTGCGTGTCCCCTAAAGGACCAGGATTACTGTAAAAGACCAGTGCTAGAAGCTGAGTGGACTCCAGGGTCCCTTCATGTCAGTGCAGTGGGACGCAGTTCTGAAATGCTGTGCAATTGTGTCTCTCTTAACAGATGTGGACCCTTCAAAGGACATCTGCCCAGGGTTTCCAGAGTCCGGGGCACTCGGCTCTCCTTGGAAATCACAGGCACTAGGAAATTTTCTCCTTGGAAATCATCTCGTTGCCAAGTGCAGAAGATCTTTGATGTTGAGGCTGTACTTTCTCTCTGCCCCTCTTCATGAGGAGCCAAGATAAGTTTAGATTTTTTGGCAGCAGGCTTTCTGCCCTCGCGCCTACAGAGCAGGGTGCTTTCGGCAGCGCTGGAGACAGCTGAACGTCATGTGTCACAAGCAGGCAAGAGCAGGAGCGAGGGTGGAGTGCGTGGAGAGTGCTCTCTGCCGAGCACAGAGGTAGCAAACTCCACCCTAGGTGCCCCCCCCCCCCCCCCCCTCTGCCACAAAACTCCCCCCCTGGCCCCCGGGGCCCCCCCCCCCCCCGCCACTGTAGCACATAGACTACCTCCCAGGCCCCAGGAAGCACCCTCCCAGCCAGCTATGGAGGGTGCCAGAAATGACCCATGGGAGCCACTCTCGTTTAAAGGAAAGCCTGGGCCTTGGCAGTGGAGGCTGAGCCCCCGCAGAGCACTCTGCCCCAGTCCACTCAGTCCTGCTCCCCAGGGTAGTCCTTATGGCTGTCCCTGTCACCCATCTCAACCAAGAGATGGCTGCTTGTCCTGCCTTCCCTCATCTCCTGTTCGTTTGGCTCCCACAAAGTCCCCTCTTGCCTTTGGAAATCCCAACCACTGCCTTTATTGAGCACCTGCTGTTTACCTCAAGTGAAGTGCTTTACATTGCTGATGAGGAAAAAGAAAGCTCAGAAAGGTTAGGTTACCTGCCTGGGACTGCCCAGCTAATATGCAGGGAGCCAAGAAGCTTCCAGCTCCGTCATAGCCAGCCATCTCTGCGTCATGTCTCTGTGACGGGCCTCTTCTGTCCTACTGGCAGTGGTGCAGGGTCTGGACTCCTACAGCTCCAGCTCATGGGGAGTGGGAGTTGATGCTGCCTTGTGTCTAGACTTTGAGGTAGTCCTTCAGTTCCTCAGTGGGAAAGAGTGTGGTGATGACAAAGGTGGGGGTGGGGCATCAGCGAAGTGCTGCAACCCGACTCGCAGGGAGATGGAAAGAGTGAAATGGAGAGGAAAAAGGACAAGAGATTCCAGCAGACACCAGGGACTGCTAATGGAGAGAAATAACGTGGCTAATTACATTTCGGAAGGCTATCCTTTCCAAAATGAATTTTTAATGAAAAAATAATGCATTTTCCCTGCAACTTAAATCTGGAAAAGAAAGGAACAAGCAGCACTCCCAGGGCGGGCAAGAGCAGTGGTGTGCGGCGGCGGGGCACTGATGTTTTCCTCACCTGACC